GGCTCCCGGGCCAAGCCCGTGGGGCCCTCGAGGCACAGGGGGGCGGGAGCCGAGCCCCCCTCCGCTGAACTGCCTGCTTTGTCAGAGCGCATGCGTGCGGTGACTTCTCTCTGCACCACTCCCTGCTCACCTACCGGTGCTTGGCTAGGGGTTAGGGACCTGCTCTTGGGTCTCATTTAGCCAGACCTTCATACCCATCCCTACCTTGCCAGAATACAATGGAGAGAAAATGGAGATGCCAGCCCTTGGAGACCCACCTGAGAAAGTGAGACAGGCCTTCTTACCTGGGAATTTTCTTGCTCCATGTAAAGGACCTTCCATTGGACATTTATCAATGGGTAAACGATTCATGCTTCAAGACCCCGCCCAAATCTCACTTCCGAAGTGAAACTTCCCAGCTCTGTTTTGGAAGAGCGACTAGTACTTTGTGGAAATCTAGTATAAACCTTAGAGAAAGGCTATTTAAACCTATGTTTCATAAACCTACATGGTTACACTCAGACTTCACCTTCTCTCGTGACCTAAAAGAATGGCTTCAGCATTGTAGTGGTAGCGGAAACCACTGGGCACTTGGTGGGTCTAAAGAAGTCTGCATTTGTCAGAATGCAAAGTCCAAGCCCTATAGCATGTTGTGCTCCACCTGTGCGTTAATCATAGCTTTAGCTCTAGCACATGGGATGCTGATGTATTGGTTTCCCCAATAGGAATGCCTCTAAATAGCTATGTTAATTAGGGTGGTAAATACTTTACCTAGTAAAATAGGGTTTTGGTTTCTCATTAGCTTATCGGTACAAAGAGCTCCAAAGAAAATTGAGACTATTAAATCTAGAAAAAGGAAGCCAAGACCTCTGTTCGCCAACACTTAAGTCCCTTTCATGCTGTTGGTCTTGGATGGGTTAATGCCTCTGGCCAGATAACAACAAATATTTTTTTTTTAAAATTTTTAATCCCAACTGGGAGTTCAGGTAAGTTGGATCCTCAGAGTTGTGTGGTGAATTTTCACTTAGTTCATAGTCAAGAGACAAACGGCAACAAAATCTTAGGAAATGCTGGGACACGTGCTGATCAAAACACAGTAACACTGATTCTACGGGACCGGGTTTGGGTTTTCCTGAGCAAGAAGGAAAGTCACAATACCTAAGACTCTGGTCTACAGGGCTTGGGTCCATTTTTCGCTTTGTGCACACCACTCTACACACCCACCAAGTGCCCAGTGGTTTCCGCTACCACCTAGAATTTGCTAATGGAACCCAGTCAAAAATCCAGTTTGTGGCTCACACTTTGTGTAGGCTGTGACATGGGTGCCCTGCTATGTACCATGGCTCCCATGACTTGTAAACTCCACTCCCTGTCACTGGCTTTCAACAATGCCATGTATCATTCAGACAATTCAGACTTTTATTGACCCTCGACTCTGCCCCATTTCCAAGCCTAGGCTTTGCAGGGACAGCATTGAACTTTTTGGAGTGGGTGTTGGTAGTCCTCCCCACACCCACCCTTCATGTTTTAGGAAATGGCTTACAGCAAAAAAAAACAACAACAAACAAACCACCTTTTGCCCATGTGACTGACTACTCTTGCATATATATCAGCCTTACTCGGGACTTCTATCAGACCAGCTAATAACTTCCTTGTTACTAATGACAAGGCAACACAAAGATCTTACCACCTTTTGCCTTTACCTGATAATAACCAGACACAGATCTGCTAACTTCCTGTTCTTTGTCTCCTAAATAATTCGCTGAGGTTAACATTATGTGCTCCTCTGGAACTAGCCACAAAATAACCAAACTTACTACCATCAAATGGATTCAGACTCTATGCGACTCCGACTCCGTAGGTCAGGGTTGAACTGCCCCTGTGGGTTTCTGAACTTAATTTTTCTCCCAAGGAATGGATGGTGGTTTTGAACTGTTGACCAACATGTAACCCCTAGGACACCAGGGTTCCTTTGAAACTAACCAGAGACATTTATTGAATAACTGAGACTTCCTCTGATTGCAACAATAACCCCAATTGTAATTCTCCTCACCTAGAACTTTTTTTAAAAACATAAAAGCAAAGGGATTTATTGGAAGTTCAAAACAGTTTGAACCAGTGACATATTTCACAAAGGGAAATTGAACACTCCCAGATGGGTAATAACAGAGGTGAACATATGAGATGAAAACAAGAGCCATGGAACAATATTCTAATTTGAAGTTAGAAGATTAGTAAAGTTAGAGGCTAGACAACTCAAGGCAGGTGGTTGGTTGGAAATATGCATATGGGTGCTTTGGGTTGGTTAGCTTAAAAACACGACAGAGAAGTTTTACAGGTGGCCATAAGGTAAAAGCTCTATGGAGGACAGATCCATTCGGATAAGCATGAGATCATCTCAGAATCAACTCGACAGCTGCTGGTTATAGCTTGTCTACTCATTATAAATAAGACAAGCACAAACTGCAAAGGTGGGGGGGGACAAACAAAATAAAACCACTGTTACTGAGTTGATTCCGATCATAGCATCCCTATAAACAAGCAAAGGAGGAAACAGGCACCGCCATCAAGTTCTGATTCATGGTGACCCTAGAGGGCATCACTGACCGACCCCTGCGGACTGCCAAGGCTGTGACTGCTTTGTTTTATAATGATTAACCATCCAGTAGGTGATTTGCAATGTCTCCAAATGTTTTTTCCTAGCTGACTTGCTCAAGCACCTGGAATGTCACCCTTAAAACAACATTTTATTAAGGTATAGGGTTTTTTGTTTGGTTGATTTTTACCTTTTTTAATAGTTTTGTTGACATATACTTCACATATCATATCATATTAAGAAGATTTGTGAAATTATCAACACAATCAACTTCAGAACATTTTCTTTTCATGTTCCTTGTTGCTAGCTCTACATTACCCATACTCCCCTGCCATGCCCCTGCCTGCAATTTTCAATCTAGTTGAGAAGGTAGCTACAGAGTAGAAAATCTTTCTCCCTCTGAAAGGCTGGTAATTTCAAACTGCTGACCTCGTGGTTAGCAGCTCATCAAGTAACCCACTACCCCACCGCTTGTGTTCATCCAAAGTCTTTATTAAAAAAATGAAAAGACAGACTACCAGCTGGGATAATATCTTCAGAATCTCTCTGATAAGAGCCTAATAATAAAAACACATATACAACTCTACAGCAGAAATATAACATTGTCTGCCCAAAACAAACAAAAGACCAAACCCCCTGTCTCTATGATTCTGATTCATAAAGATCCTATAGAACAGAGTAGAACTTCTCTTTTGAATTTCTGAGGCTATAAATCTTTGCAGGAGTGGAAAGCCTCATTATTCTCCCAAAGAGTTGCTAGGGGATTCTTACTGCTGAACTTGTAGTTAGGAGCCCAGCTTGTAACCCACTATGCCATCAGGACTCCTTAGCTAATCCTAGGAAGGGCAAAAGACTTAAATAGACATATCACCAAAGTGAATATTCAAAAGGCACCAAAGCACATGAAAAGTTGCTCAGCATCTTTTCATCACAGAGATGCAAGTCAAAATGATAACGTAATGCCATTCCATTTCCACTAGGATAGT